ATTACTTGATTTTGGGGATTCGTAAAAGCGGTTCTGATTGGTTCCCTGATGTTGAAAAAAGAAATAATAATAATAATAATAGTAATAAAAAAAAGAACTGCCAAATTCTCCCCAGTCTCCTGAATTCTTCCACTTTATGTTGATTACCAATGAACGCCTTTTCTCTATTATTTTTAGGTAGACTCGGTACATGAAAATCATTTGATTTATGGAGTTGCATTAAATAAAAAGGAGGGAAATACATTCACCGAAATTATAAAAAGAAAAATATATTTATATCTCGATTCAAAAAATACCTTTACAGGCAAATTTGCGGAAATTTTTGTGCCCAATGATATGTTGCCGTGAAAGAATTTGCAATCATTTTTTCATCGTTTAAATAACCGCCTATCTTATTTTCTCGGAGATTAAAAGCTTGAACTAGAAGGTTACACAATTCTCATACTTTCTAGCCGGATTAATCGGCAAAGGTTAAAAAGAAAGATAATAATCATGTGTTGAAGTTTAAGGAACGAAACATGTTTCAATTTTGTAGATTTCGTGAATCAATATTTCGAGTCGTTTGATCATCCTTTGATTTTAAGATCAACACCAGTTACTTTAATCTTATCTTCATACTAATTATTCGTATATAGTTACGAAATTATTCATATGAATCACGTGACTGATAATGTCGATGATTGATTATCTAAATGTTTTTTTTTTTTTTTTTTTGATCAAATTTCGGAGAATATGGAAGAAACATTTGAAAGAATTCGTGCTCAAATTAATTCAAAACTTGATAATCAAAAACAAATAGCAATAACATTATTGGCAATAGAAGAAACCATAAAGGAACAAAATGCCATATTAAGTCCAACTTCTTACTTTGCAGCATTACTTACAACATTAGAACAGCAGCAAACTCGTTCAGAAGAAAATGTAATCGGGTCAATATTATATCTATTAAATATCGTATTAAAAGAAACCCCTTCAACAATATTAAAAAGTAAATATTCAACAATCTTGTTGGTGTTAAATGATTCTTTGGAGTTGAGAAAAAATGATTCGGCCATCATAAGGAGTATCATTGGTTGCTTAGAAAATTTATTAATTGTTCAAGAAATAATTATTTGGCAACAAATTCAAACAAAGAAAAATTTTCAAAATATATTATTACTTTCTTTGGATCACAGACCCAAACCACGGAAAAGAGTTCATGATGCTATCAAAAAAATCTTAAGTTCGATAATCTCATCGAACGGGGGAAAAGCTGGTCCGAATAAACATCCTGCGATTATCATGACAATGGAATTTTGTACAAAAGTACTTAAAGAATATATTAAAACCGATCAAACTTCCGTTATATACATTTTAAATTTATTAAAAGGAATAATTAACATATGGCCGATCGATAACCTTTATTCATTATGTGAGATATTAATATTTATACCTAAATGTAATCAAAAATATTTAACCATATCATCATTTCAATTATTTGAAGAATTGTTTCAAAATAATTCAAAAGGTTTCATCCTTGAAGAACATCAAAAAGGAGGTGAAGGGGTGGTAGAACATCATAATGATAGATTTAAGGAGTTATTGGTAGCATTGATGGATTTAATGCCGAATGTTAAAGACCCTCAACTTTTACCTCAATGGTTGATGATTATAACAAGAGGGTTTCCAATTTATGTAGAATGTAATAAAGGGGAAAGTGAAAAGATGTTACAAGAATTTTTCATAAGGATTTTTGGAACATTAGAAAGTGATAATTCTGATATCATTATAAACGCCACTTTATGTCTTTGTGAATTGATTTCATCTGGAATTACCGATGACATGATCCAACAAACGTTAAATGATAAAGATCAAAGACGAGGTTGTTTAAATGTTATCATTTCAACGGTGGAAGGTGGATTCATCATAAAATATAAAAATTCTTGGCCAGGGATTTTAGAGATTTCTAAATCATTATTTCAAAGGCTTCATCGATCTTCACGAAAATTACTCGTCAATTTATTAAAGATCGTGACAGATGTTAGAATGGATCAATCTTTCGAATTAAAAGAAGAAGCGGATGCGGTGATAGGTTTCGCTATAGAAAATATGGGACCAAGATATCTCTTAAATATATTACCATTAAACTTGGAATCACCTGGGATCAAGAATCATACCGGTAGAGCTTGGTTATTACCTTTGCTAAAGGATCATATTGTAAATTCAGAGTTGGAATATTTTTTAAAAGAATTCCTTCCATTAAGCCAAAGGTTGCAACAAAAATCTTTAGAATTTCAACAGCAAAATCGTTTAATCGAATCAAAAATTTATGATACTTTAGTACAACAAATTTGGTCTTTATTACCAGGATTTTGTAATTTACCAACAGATTTACAAAAAAATTTTAACAAGTCCCTTGGCGAATTGCTAAGTAATAATATGTATCAAAAACCTGATTTACGTCCTACTATCTCTTTAGCTTTACAAAATTTAGTTGAAAAGAACAAGTTATTATTGGATTCTGAGAAAAATGATCAAGAATTAAAAAAATTATATGGTATTGATAAAAATGACGCGAAGAAAAATTTAGAATTATTGACAAAGTTTTCGAATAATTATCTGGCAGTTTTCTTTAATGTATATTCCCAAACATCACCTGCTTATAGGGGATATCTATTAGAAGTGATAAAAATTTATTTAACGATCACTCCTGCAAAGGATATTACCACGACCTTTGCCAAAGTTATGAGCCTTCTTCAACAATCTTTATCAAATTCGACTCCTCCCCCCCCTCCTCCCTCCTCGCAAGATGTTGAAACAACTCCACCTCCAATGTCTTACACTATGTTGGACCTAACTATTACCATGACTCCTTACCTCGATGCGACATCAATGAATCGACTTTATGAGGTCTTAACCGGATTGTTTTCTCAAGAAGATTCAACGTTACAAAAGAAATCTTACAAGATAATGAATTCATTAGCGGAAACCGAGAATGGTAAAATAATGATACTAAATCATATTGAGGATTTACAAATTAAATTAAGAAATTCCACGATGAATTCAAATTCGGCTTCAAAAAAAGATAGGTTATTAACGTTAATTAATGTGATCAAATTACTTCCTTCATCGGACCTTCATATGATACCTGATGTATTATCAGAAGTTATATTAAGTACAAAAGAAGTGAATGAAAAGGCAAGGATAAATGCTTATGAATGTTTAATAATGATGGGGAATAAGATGAAACAAGGTGGAACTATTATTATGAGTAAAATTTTAGAATCCGACCCATCCTCCTCCTCCTCCTCAGACGTAATGAATGCGTCAATTGATGAATTTTTATTTAACATGGTAATAGCAGGATTAGCGGCAACCACCCCTCACATGATAAGCGCCACCATCACTTCCTTGTCAAGGTTATTATTTGAATTCAAAAATGATCTTGATAAGGATTCTATCCACAAGTTAATTGATACGATGAATAACTTTATCAATTGTCCTAATCGAGAAATTGTTAAAGCCGCGTTAGGTTTCGTTAAAGTGACAACGATATCTTTGGATGTGGATATATTAACTCCTCATTTATCTCAAATCATTCTCGGTATATTATCTTGGTCAAATGAACACAAGAGTCATTTTAAAGTGAAAGTTAGGCACATCTTTGAAAGGTTAATCAGGAGATTTGGCTATGATACCATCGAACAACATGTACCTGAAAGTGATAAGAAATTATTAGTAAATATTAAGAAGAGAAGGGAACGCGCAAAAAGGAAAAAGGTTGCCACGGAAACAAGTATGGATGATGATGAAGCAGAGGAAGATGAGGAGAATAAAGAAGATCAACATGATGATAATAATCGTATTGGAAAGTATAAAGGGAAGAGATCAACTTTCAATAGCGCTTATGAAGATGCTTTATATGGAAGCGAAAGTGAATTGGAAGATACTGATGATGAAAATGAAGTGGGTGGCATTATTAATAAAAGTGGTGAAATTAAGAAGAAGAAGAACAAGGAATCTTCAAAGAAAAGGAAAGATGGTTCATGGATTCGAGAAGGAGGTGATGAAAGTGGAGATGATGCACCGGTTGATTTCTTGGATAGAGGAATAATATCAAAAGTTATCGGATTAAATCCTTCCAATACTCGAAAACAAAGAAAAGATTTTTCAAAAGCATTCAAAGAAACCCGTGATGGTAAAATGATTATAAATGAATCTGATGATTCCGAGGACGAAGGAGCGAATTCTTCCGACGTTATGATGCAGGAAGCCGACAATCACTTTCTAGAGGCTCAAAAATCAGGTGATGGATTTATTCGTGGTCAAAGGAATAAAATTAAATTTAAAAAAGGAAATAAGAAAAATGATGACATGGATCTAGACAATATCGAACCTATCGACGCTATCGCGTCAAGAAATCAAAAGCGTAAAAATACAATAAAAAATACCAATAAAGTCATTACGATTGGTAAAGCATATAAAGCCAAAAATGCTGGCGGTGACATTAAAAAGAAAGGTCAACCCGATCCTTTTGCTTATATACCCTTATCAACTATGTATAGAAAACACAACCAAAAAGGTCCGAAAATCTCTGTTACTTCAAAAAGTAAAATACAAAAACGTAGGTAGGGCATAATGGATTTGAGGGTTATGTTAACATTTAGATAGTCTTTTTTCCTCCGCAAAATTATTTTATTTTATTTTATCGTTCACTTTATTATCAAATAAAATTATATTATATTAATTCTTGCAATGATTAATTCCTCAAGGGAATTCTTATACCAGCGACTTTTGTCGCTTCATTAAAATATAAAGTTATAATCTTATTATTTCAAGTATGATTTAAAATTTAAAATAAATCACAAAACAAAAAAAAAGTCCAACATCTATAAATAATATCAATAAATATAACCTAAACGACGATAAAAAAAAAAAGCTTACGATACTACTCGTTTTCTATTAGATGCCATTCTTGCGAATAAAGCGAAAAGCAATATGGTATATTTAGTTGTATATTCTTTAACGTAAAATAATAAAGCTTGAGATAATACAGCTTTTGTAATTTGCGCTTGCATCCCCTAAATAATTTTTGATATACTTTATAAAAATAATAATAATAAAGAAAAAAGGTAAAAACATTAATAGAAAAAATATGCCTACCTTATACCATCCAAGGATACCGTCAGTCTCCAAAACTTTTTTTAACACATCAATCGCACCGGTATATCTTACATGTTTAATGGATTTTCTTTCATTGCTTTCAACTATGTTAAAAAAATCCTCCTCAAGTTTTTCATAACGCTCATCAAATATATCTTCATCCTTTGATTGTTTACATTGTAATCTAACCTTAGCCATAATATAAGGGTAAGTAATGATAGTAGCAATGGTTTTACTTAAAGCTCCTAACCAGAAAATGATAGCAGGACCAAGTGATTGTTGATTATCTCCATTAGTTGATAACCTTTTTGAAACTATATCCTTAAATCTCTCGAAAGCTCCATATGTAATAGCAGGATTAACACATAATATTAAGCTGGGTTTTAACCCTTTCCATAATCCTGGAATACCATCATCTAATATAATTTCTTTCGCTGTATCGATCAATCCATTTCTTTCTTCAATGCGTGCCGTTTGCTGTCTTGTCGTTACAACTGATACAGGAATTGTAAATATTTGAGCAAGCGCACCCGCTAACGCTCCTAATAATAATTCTGATATTGTTGACAAGGATTGTTGTGTATTCGAACTTTTCGTTATGGTATTTTGATACCTCGTACGTAAAAATGAATACCAATAAAAATATGCAAAATTTGTTGATGCAACTCCAATTAATCCGGCTGGTAATCCTGCATATAACCCAGAAATCCCTTCTCTTTTAATTATTTTATATATCGCGTCTCCTGTTGATTCATAATAATTTTCATTGGCCGATGATGCACTTTTTGATTGAACTTGAAGTCGAGTCTTTATACTAGGGTGATTTTTTTTTTTAGTTTTCGGTACTGCAACAAAATTTTTTTTAAAGTATATTATCTAATTATTTACTTACATATCCAAAGGATAAACGATAGCCAAAGCAAAAAGTGCCCCTAAAGAACCTGCTACAGCGTTTCCGAAAGGTGAAAGTGATGGCAATTTTATTGCTTCTTTTGAAACCGCTGCCATATTATTTTGATTAAAATTGAAATAATTAATTTCCGCTTTTTAAAAAAGCGGAAATTAATTATTAAAATAGTAGTAGATTATTTGATTGATGACATAATTGATAATGATTATCTCTTTCATTAGTTACACAACAGTTAAATTTTTTGTTTTATTTTTTTTTTTTTTTTTTTTTTTCATCTCTTTCGTCGTTATTTTTAAATTATTATACATTACCATACAATGTACGACGTAACAAATGGCATAAAAAAATAGTTAAATTGTTGGTGGTACAAGTATTTGAAAGGAAACTTTTTCAAAAAAAAAAAAAAAAATAAAAATAAAAAATATAAAAAAAAAAAAAGTCCTGCTCAAATTCTTTGTGATCTATCTTACAAGTGATAAATTTAATTCGAAAATGGGGATACTATATGAATCCGATAATTTAAACGATGTCAAATTTTATGGACCCAATACTAAAAGGGGTTTTTTTCTTCCATCGTCATTATAATGTTGAACAAAAGATTCATTCAAATAATTACTGCGTCCAAAAAAGAATTCTTGTAATTGAGCACAACCACAACAAATCATCAATACATCATCCTGTGTTAAACTAGGACAGACACGAATTCGTAATTTTTCAAGATACCTTAAACGTGTTAACGTTGGTGCGATAACCTATCATAAATGAAAACACAATGTCATTAAAGAAACATTATTAATAAAGAAAAAAAATAATAATATAAAATAACGCAACAAGTAAATTTACCGTATTCGGAATATCTTCGGTACTGGATAAATAAAATTCTTTTAACTGTGAGCATACTGAAACGATCGCATCTAAGCCACGAATAGTAAAATCCGTGGATGAAAATAAACTTAATTTTCTTAAACCTCTACAGTATCTTATACCAGATATTACTACTTCTTCTGTAAGTCGGTCACAATTCGAAATTTGTAAAATTGAAAGAGTTTCGGAAATACTCCCAAGTAGAGCAATTATGGGCTCATCCGTAACATCAGGTAAATTGAATAAGCAAAGATCATTAATCGGTGGACGAATCGTTTCAAGCACCAAGAAAGATGAATCAGTAAAGCTACAATTATAAAGATGAAGATATGTTAAGCTTTTAGCATTCCTAATACCCAACATGCTTAAAGTAACGTCAGTGACAAGTGGCGTTGAATATTGAAAAGTCACTTTACTAAGCATTCTCAATCGTTCAGCTATCATCAAGAATCCACGATTGGAAAATTGCTTTGATCTATGCAAATTCACTTGAAGAGATTCTAAATGCAAACAATAATCAGCCAGAGCGAATAAGGTCGCATCCGTCACCCTTTCATATGGTTCCAAACTTAAATGACGAAGGTTAGGACATCTATATGCCACCTGTGTCATTGATAAATCGGTTATATATGGAGTGTTTTGAAGGATTAGGGATTCTAAATTCTCATTCATATTAATGGCCATAGTGGTTATAGCGTTGTCATCAAGCAAACCGCAATCCCAAATATGTAAATTCTTCAACCTTAAACAATGTTGTGTTATAAGCATAAAGGTATGAATTTCAATGGTATTTCCAATATAAATTTCAAGGGTTGTAAGGTGTTTCGCATAGGCAAGTCGAAGCAATGAATCATTCTTAACGTTTACGCAATCACCAAAAGAGAGATGTTCTAAAAGACGACACCTATCGATGATCTGCTTCAAAGAATCATCAGTAATGTGAGGTAAATTCAATAATTTTAATGATCTCAAATCCGAACAACGTCCCGCAATTCTACTCAAAACATCGTCCCTTAATTCTTGAACGTTAGAAAAGTCAAGGTGTTTCAACACACCACAACATTCAGATATCAGACCCAATTCGGCAGCTGAACAAGCTAATGTAAGTCGCGACAAGTCGAGATTCTGAATAAAACAGCCATAAGTATATAAGGTAGCAGAATTCTGTTTTGATCTCACCAATGTTCTAATAAATTTATCAAAGGTTGAAGCGCGTTTCATACATGGAGCTTTCCATAATTTTGGTGTCACGCAAGTGTTCCATAGACGGGACACTAAACAACAAGCAGCCAAGTCGGTTTGAATTTCTAAATGAGATATTATTTCACAAATGATATAAGCTTGGTTTGACAAGGGTGTTTCATAAGTTATATCATAGTATCCGGTAGCTCTCATGACATGATATTGTGATATAGAAGTTGACATTTCGGGTGGATTGAAAAGATAAACTTCAAAAGAACTATAGGAAAAGAGTGAAATGCAGAGTAAAGAAAACTTTGTAAAAGGAATAAAGGAACGAATAAATTGATTAAATTAAAGAGGTTGAAAAGTTAAAAAGGATAACGCGTAGAGAGAATAACTTGGAATCTATAGTAAGGATAGAAAAACAAGAAACATTAGTGACATTACGTAAACCGACCAAAAAAAAAAAAATGAGAGAAAATGAGAAAACGTGAAGTAAAAAGAATCTATCAAATACAGTACAAATTCAATGGATTCTTTTTGCCGTTCAATAAGCATTAGATGGATAGAGTAATAATCAATGAATTCAAATATACAAATATTTATTGAGACACACAAAAAGAACGGGATTTTGTGGAGGGAGAAGAAGTGTAGTGTGACTTTATTTGTGTTTGTAGAGTTACACGGATTTCCAGGTAACTCAAAACTAGTTTATGAATTTTTTTTTTTTAACTTAAATAAAACTTTATTTATACCTAGCAAATCAAACCGTTGTACCCTGTTGGAGAGAAAGTATTAAAATACTTCATAAAAAAAAAAAAAAAGAAAAAAAAAAGCCCCCCCCAAAAAAGGCCGGAGAAAAAAAAAAAAAAAAGAAAGTATATAAAGAACCATACAACAATAAATGAAAAGATGATTTATAAAAATACAATTCTCTTTGATGATGTTTCAGCCCAATCGACTAAACGAGAAGAAACTAGAAATTGGACAAGCAAGCAAACGAGAAAATTCGGATTTAAAATATGATAAATATGATTTCATACCAAAAACTGTTTTTTGATTGTTCCAACCAGATTTGGAATTATTCATACGTTTTTATTCTGCAGGTTTAATTTAATTAAATTATTTGTTGATTGTGGGGACAGATTGTAGAGTACGGTGCTTTGAAATATGCTAAATGTAAAAAAAAAAAAAAAAAAAAAAAAAACGAATTCAAAAGTACAACAATGTTTTCCGATCCTTTAAATATTGGAAATGAGCTCCCTAAAAAAAAAAATAAAAAATAAATAAAAATAAAAAATAAAGTACAAGCCAAGAGAACCAGTTATAAGTAATACCTAAATATGTTTGTGATCGCATTGTATTATATTATGTTTTTAGTGTTATACTTGTTTCAGGACCCTGAAATCTGAATGCAACTGTATCACAATATTTCGCGAAACGCAAATATGTCGAGAATTGAAAAGTGCGCTTCTTTTTCCGACCTTTACACCTATTCAATGGTCGGTCTAACGTAAAGCTATGAATAAATCAATCATTAATAAAGAAGAGAAACAAATGATATAAATTTCCAAAGAAGCAAATTTAATATCATTGGTCAATGATAAAATGCATTGTTCTTATTAAACTTTCTTGTGCTCCAAAAACCAAAAGGTAACATTCGCGTTTTTTCACTTATCATAGTCACACTTAACAATTGACGGTACAACCAACATAAAATAAATCTGTAATCTCAGAAAATTATCAAAAAAGACTTGTATTCAAGTTTGATGACAGGAAACATTATTCTTTTTCTTTTAATATAATTTTTCGGATTTCAGGACCGAATATTTGATGACAGAAAAAAAAGGGCGTAATCAACGGCCATTTTTGGCTAACGCATTACTCAAAACAAACAATAAATATATGTAAATCACTTATCTAATCACATGATCTATATATTATTCTCTTTGTATATTACCGAAGGATTAAAATTCTCGGTCAAATTTCGGTAATTCCCAGAAAATTTAAATGAAGTAGATTTCCCCTTTAGGTCCAAAAATAGATCGTATTACTATGAGGCTCTTCAAGCAAGAGTGATTCGTAAAAAAAAAAAAATAAATAAAAATTTTTTTTTAAAATAAACAAAAAAATAATAAATTAGTTCTTTTTAGATCGATCATCAAGGAAATTGTTTAACAAACATCAATCCGCAGTAAATATCATCCGAGTTGGGGTCCAGGAATGGGTTTGTTGTTTTCAATTTTCGCATAACTGAATATTGAAAGAGATGTCACGTGAAATACTCCAAGAATTCGCAAAATATTCTCTTCCCAAATACGGAAACAATCATTAAACGTGCGAATTATCCAGAAGTAATGGATCGGGCTTTTTTTTCTACGAAACCCACGAAGAAATCTCACTAGCCACGTGTTTTTTTTTTTTTTTTTTTTACGTGGCAAAATATCTTTGCGCAATCATGTCACTATAATGAAAGTAATTGCCACTATGTTTTGACCCTAAGGTGACATTACTAATATTTAATATTTACACCTTTTATTTCCTTCACAATTTTTCTCAGGTTTGATAATAGATATAGATAGATATATATATATATATAAAGCAATCTTTGAAATGATATTTTATAACTGTAATAATTACAGAGCCCCTTTTCGCGAAATCAAAAAGATCAAGTGTGGCTTCACTATTTGATTCGGTCTTGTACAACTTGGCTAGTTTTAAACCGTATTCGCATTTGCAAATAATTATTTTTATTCGTTTAAAGAATGTGCTTAGCTGAATAGAATAAAAAAAATATACATAAGTAACAAATAGAGTCTAAGCAGTTTGTCTAAGCAATAACGATGACAACATTTAGATTATACCATCAAATCCATGTCAATGAGCAAGTTATTGATGAGCTTTTTTTTTTGCAAAGAAAAATAACATTAGCTTACGAAACAAGTCAAAAACTGCGGCGCATTGCAAGATTTATAATATTCCTCTTAATCTACAAATAATTAAAAAAAAATCAAAATTCCCGTTTAAAGTTTGGCGTTTTCCGATGTTTAGTTTCCGTGGCAGATCATATTTATTAAGGGTGGCTATAGAGTTGAACTTGTGTTCATCTCGTTTTTTTTTTTTTTTTTTGCCAAAATCAAACTCGTTAAATAACCTGAAAAAAAAAAAAAAAAATTTATATATATATCGACCAAAAAGAAAAAAAACCGAGATAAATTGGCGTAGTTAATTTTGGAGCCACAAATGGCAAATATAATATTGAGATTTCCTGAGAAACTTTTTTTTTTTTTGATGATAAATTGATGGTAATTCTGAAGAACCAAAAGAAAAAAGTATTTAAAAAAAGCCGCCCCTTTTTTTTTTTGTTGAGGCTTTGTCGATCGGTTATAATTTAATCTCGCGTTTTATTTTATATTATTTTTATTTTTATTTTTTTTTTTTGTACAAAATTAATTTCTTTGAATTATATATATACTATACTGAACTTTCAGCAAAAAAAAAAAAAAAAATCGCATTATATTTAAAGGAAATTCAAAAAAAAAAATGGCATCACCAATTAATCCGATCTATATAAATATTGGCGAATCCATACCGTCGTCACCAATCACCTCTAAACATCGAGTTGAAAAACCAGTTCTTACAACAGCGACAACAGATGTTCCTATGAAAGAATCAAAGGAAACGCCTTGTGAAGATGAGGGATGTGTAATGGCTTGTAGAACTATATTTATAAAGAGCAAAAGAGTTTTTGAGATCCTTACATATTTCCGACTAGCTGTCGCTATAACCCTTTATATTTTGATTACCATTGATTTGATTTCTATAAAACAAAAGAAGGAGAAAGTGTTTTGGGTGGAAGTTCTAATGCAGGCAAGTTGATCAAGATTATCCGCCTAAGGCGATATAAAGTGACTTTTTTTTTTTTACAAGATTAATTGTGAATTCTATATATATATTGCAGGTTATCAATGCCGAATTTACACTTCTGACAATTATAGCGCATCCAAAAAGAATTATTAATTTACCGAGAGCAATAAAAATATGTATCGCTAGTAGATACCTAAATTATCGACTTAGTGACCTATTTCCACCGAACATAAAAGAAACTCAAAAGAATGTTTATAGAAGTTATGATTGGTATTTATATGAGGCGACAAAAGCTGATTTAATATGTTCGCCTAGAAAACTTTTGGTTGTCCTCTTGTTTTGGAATGTAGGAAGTTTGGTGCAATACGGTATATGTGGTATGACAAATCTGATTGATGAAATTTTCTTCGCCGTATTACTTTTCGCAATGAAAATTTAAAATCAATCTCATTGCTTTTCGATAGTCATCTTGTGGTTTTTTCCGCAACAAGAACGACCTATGGAAATTTATATTACCTTAAATGCGGTAGCATTAATATGTGAAATCTTTCCTATTCCTCTCGTAGTAAAACAATATAAAAAGACCATAAAGGCTAGGAGATCTACTAGTAATAGAAGATATATTCGATAAAATATCACAAGGTACGGTAGAAATTGAAATGTTCTTTTCTTTTCAATCCCTTATTATACGATAATTGAAATTAAAGATTTTATATAACGCATTGCATTGAAATTTGACTCAATTTAAATGCTTTCAAAATGCCATGACGCGTTGCCTTGAAGGCTAAAACGTTTATAAAAAAAAGAATCCAATCATATTTAACAAACAAGTTGGGCTTTAAGATTTAATAAACAATCAAATAATATGTAACAATAATTTCGATAGAAAAAAAAAAAAAAAAAAAAAATTTTTAAAATCGTGGAATGTATTATTATATAGTTGTTATAATTTGAACCAAAAATAAATCTAATATGCCGTGACGCAGAGTTCACGTGAAATTCGACCAATTGGCCGTCAACAACTATATAGATGGCGTTTTTCTAAAATTCTGTCAACGAAACTTTAAACATGTCTAATGACCCATCACCAGAAACGTTACCTCCAATCGATGATACTCAAACAAAACCCGAAGAAACCCCTAAAAATGCTGTCCTAGCAGATATACAATCACCTCAGGAACTTACGGCATATGTAAGTTAAGTTTTATTTAATTAAATTGTTTGAATTTATGAAAATTTTTTTTAATTCATTTTCTATTGATCACTTTAAAGGTCGAAACTGTACTTCAACAATTGGTACTAATTCATATTTTATGAAGTTCAGTTCTTTTTTATTTATTTATTTATTTTTAACTTGTTAATTATTTTTTTTATTTTAGAAAGATAAATTTGATGATTTATCCTCACAATTAGTCTTAAAAAGTAATGTATATTTTATTAATTATATTTGGAATTTTAATTTTACAATTTCATTAAAAAAATTTTAATTGGAATAACAGTGGATGATATGGGATCACGAATAGACACGCTTGAAAAATCTTTAGGCGAATTAATGCAACAAACTGTATCTGACGAAATTATAATTGAAGAAGCAAAGACGTGATTTATTATATTATTATTATTATTATTTTTTTTTAAAAAAAAAACAAAAACTATTTATTCAATATAAAAGTAATTTATTTGAAGCGACTCATTTCTTTTTGATAATAGTTATAGAAAAGGTTAAAAATGTATTGTAATTCTTTATTTGAATATATTTATTTATTAACATTAATTTATTTTCATAATCGTGAGATATAAATAAATAAATATATAATTCAATTTATAGTTTTAGTTCAATTGACTTTCACAAACTGTTTGGCTTGGAAAATGATTTTTATCACATTATTATCAATATTATGCCGTGAACGTTTACAGAATCGCTTCATTTGCTGCTACTCGGGTTATATTTGGTAAAAATATATCTCCATGGGGAATAATATTCCAATGATTTACCACATAAAGCCAACAAACCATGGTAAATTATTCGGCTTGTGTATTTTACGGTGTGATTTATATAGGTTAACTGTACTATCTGATGACTTCAATTCACGCAGAAGTTTCTTCTCCTTATTGCGTTGCCTTATCCCATTACGAACACTTTTCTTAAGTGCATCATCCAAGAAAATATCCATTTTCCTATCCTCCGATGACTTTGATCACTCACTTAAGATGGCGGAAAAGTACCTTATTACACTTATCTGTAATGGTGCTAGGTACATTGACAATTATTTCGGGAGAAATATCTTGGGTTGTGTTGACTGTTTGCCCTCCTCATTGCCATCCTTTAGTTTCACTACTTCGGTCTACAACTCAGCAATTTCATCATCACGCCTAACATTCTCGGCTGAAGAATCTGTCTTGCTTTTCTCCAACTCCTCGATTCTGGCCTTGATTTCGGCATTCTCAACATCACGTCTCTTACTTTCTTCCACAACCTGACTAAGAAACTCGGCAATCCTGACCTTAAGCTCAAATTTCTCGGACTCAGCAAACTTCCTTTTAAGATCAGGGATCTAAGCATTCTCAGCATTCTTATCTTTAAGTTCAGCATTCTCCTTTTTAAGTTCAGAAATCTTAGCATGCTCCTTCCTAAGCTCTGCAATCTCAGCTAAAAGCTTGGCACTTAATTCTCTGAATGAATCAATGGATTGCATGTTCGATGATAATTTTTTGAGATGGAATAATTCAAAAAGTTCGTTAGCACAGATAAAAAACCGTGACAAAATGTCACGATCGGAACTACTGATTTATTGATGTAAAAAATAAATTACAAGATTCGGTAATACATAAAAAGTGAAATAAGGACCATGCTTTACCTAAACTATTCATAAATTATTCATACTAACACAATAATATCAACTTCATGATCTGCCCCAATCATCGATATTCTGAATATGAAAAATGGCAATTATACTTACAAGCAATACCAGAAATAAAGCTCCGCTGAGAATTTATCAATGTTCACCAAGAAAAAGAAGCTAAAGATTTGCTTAAAAGATTTAAAGAACATCTATTCAAGATCAAAGTAGAAAGAAATTATGATAATAAAAATATCAAGTTAGTAGAAGAACAAAGAAAATTAGTTAATCAAAATTATTCAAAAAGTAAAATACAATATTGTAGCATTCTGCGATTGTTAAAAAGTTCCTATAATAATTCGTAAGTCGCATGACTAATTACCCCCTGATAAATACTATAAATACTCATATCAATTAACATCGCTTTTGTTTTGTAATATAAAGGTTTCTATTCTAATTTCTCAAAATAACTCCAAAATGATGTCTTTGCAACAAGTTGCCCAAAAATTTAATTCATTCGTATCGTTATTATTACCCATTGAGTGGTTTACATGGTTTACCTATTTCGTAATCCTTCCGATGACTTGTTTATTTGGCTGGCTGGTCTGTCTCCTCACTCTTACAACTTTTCTAATCTCTATCGTTTTCTCTAAATTTTTTTCCTTTCCACCAATGTCATTTCCCTTAGGCACTACCATTCGTCACCATTGCTTTTATATTTGCTAACGTATTTGGTGTTGTGCAATTATTATTAAGGGGTGAGCGTTAAAAATCAGATTCACGTGAGATAAATGATAATCGTATAGTTTTATCTAATAGCGATGACAAAAAATTTTAAACCTTCAGGACAACCGTATCAATATCCATCACGGGTAGTTAAAAGTGAAGATAATGATATGAGAGTGCCACCAACAGTAACTTCAGCTGTGCAAGGCCAGGCCGGAGCTACGCACGGAGGAACAAGAGGGAAACATGGACATAATGGAAAAGATGAAACTTCGAATGATAATAACATAAACGAGTATGTAAGGTGTAATTTTAACCAAGCCATTTGTAACTAATCCTTTTTCACGTTATTTTTAGATTGTTTGTTTCTACCAGAGAGGCTCTTATGACCGTTCTCCCGCAAGCCTCCGACGAAAACATTAGAAAGTACGAGAGACAACTTGATGACGTAGAAGATTTTGATCCAGTTCTAATCATTTCTCCAAACCAAAATTGGATTAACCAACACTCATTGCAAGCTTATCAAGCGGTAATGAATGCATTTGCGACCGATAGACTCCGACAAAATAATCGCAGAGATGAAAATTCGCTTACTGTGTTCCACTTCGCAAATGTGACTGAAATGTACAATGTACGTGGAAACATTCGCACACGATATCCCATTGCATTCTACGACCCAAAAGCTCAACCTCAACAGGAACCGATTGGTATCGCTTGGATACTTACTAAGGTGGGGGTGCGCAGGAGTGATTTTGGGGAGGATGATTCATTTTTTGTTTCACACGAATAATTGTTATCAATGAATTATAACAAAAATATACGCAAAGTAACACAAAAGCAAATGTTAAAAATCAAGTGAATTCTTTTTTTAATGAAATAAAGTTCAAGTCAATTTTTATAGTATATTGACTGTCTATGTGCTATGAAAATTCACGGTTAACGGTTTTTATTATTCCAATGCAATTACATAAGCTCACGAAAAATGCATACACATGTTAAAAAATCCTTCTTCCCCTCATCTGTTCGGAAAAAATGAGTATTTATGTCTTTCTCAACTGTGATAACGTCATTATAAGAAGGCAAACCCGAAATATGTGCGAAATATTTATTAATTTTTCAGGCACATAAGTTCCCCACAATAAAATTCAGAAGTGAGAATCTCAGAATCAAGTTAACGTTAATTTTTTCTTATCAATAGTTTTTTTATTTCGTTATTGTAAAATTTCAAAAAACTTTTATTTTTCTTTTATTTTTATTTTAGCAATTATATTCTTGATTAAGGAAATTAAAAATCCAACTATACGTCAATATATGATATATAAAAAAATTTTAAATGTTTAATTATTTCTCTTATAAGCCTAATAGATGTTTTCATTTTTCAAACAGTATCAATCGCCACATTAATGACATTATCGGTTATTGTCACGTTATTCACGTTATGCAAAATTTTACCGGTCGATTCTTCTAAAGTGTTAAAATATTGATCGACTTTTCTTGAACTCACTTACAAACTGGACTCACTAGTACCACCTTAACGGTTGATAAGCCAGAGAAACTTACTATCAAGAATCTCCTTGATACATTAAACATTGTTGATTCTGTTGGATTCGAGGACCTTCCGAAGAAGATTGGGTGAAAGTACTCAATGATCAGCTATTACAATGTCTCCTCTCATATTACATTAAATTTGACAAGGTCTTCATTGTGTTTTCCGTCATAAAGAACAAAATTCTCCGAATACAACGCCCCAATTGAGTCCTGTTTCGAACAAGCTTGATAATGAGACTAATATTGTAGCTTTCGGGATTTGCCGTTGATAATAACTTTTGGTAGAAAATGTTAAAGAGCCATTTACACAAATTCCGATTAAAGAATCAGATCCATCAAATTATGATAATCGAAAATACATCTGACAACTGGACATTGTTCCCTACCTATGTCTCATCAAAATTACATGACGAAATAAATTTATTTAGCATCTCATTAAAGGTGGAAACAAAGGATGGGAAGTTATTATCTATCCAACTCACTCGGACTCGATATATTACGTGGCCATAAAGGTGTGTTTCTACTGCGCTTTAACTAGTATTTGATTTGAATTAGATTTTAAAAACTGATTCATGCTAATTCACGAAGGTGCGGACGAAATGCTTGAATTCTTTTCTTCAGTATGTGAAAATTCTATGTGTTATGAAAAATGAGTTAAAGAAGTTACATTCTACTGCTTTATTTCTCAAGATCAAGATATTTCTCAATGATCTGCTAATTATGGGCGATAATAAAGATGCTGAAATGCGTCTTCATAGGGACCAAACGGCGATTTTTTACTTTTCAAAAGTATATTTTGACGAAAAAGAAATCGAAAATAACCTTAATTTTCCCACTGCGTCTGGTCTTTCCGTTTCTAAGATTTTTGAATTATCATTATCTCAAAAGACAGATTTATGTTCATCTCACGATTTAGCACCTCTTGTTCAAGAAATATTTGGTATACGGAAGGGGTTTCAAAAGGAAAAAGGTTTTACTAAAGTTTTTAAGAATTTTGAGAAGGACTGGAGGAAAAAAAATATAAGAACGATCAGGTAGATAATTAAGTATAGATAGAAGATTGGTTATCGTTCGAAAAAATAATCGTGTATATTAGCATAGATAACATGTATCAAGAACTACATCCCAAACTTTGTATTTATTTTGAATTAATTTTAATAAAAAATCGACTCTGAATCATACATTACCCTAACAAAAGTATCCGGTCAAGCTCTTTGATTTTTTCGAGATCGGATATTTTAATTAATATATATTTTTGTTTATTCGTTTTTTGTTATGACATATACAAATTTGGTAATAAAAATAAAAACAATGATCGATTTTGCGTAGTGATGACTTTTCTTACTGCGCCATCGAAGCATATGTTCATACCGCAAAGGATGTCAAAAATTGGATTATACAGAAAAAGATTAAGATTCTTCCAGATTGGCCTTCTCAATCTCCAGATCTTAATCCTATTGAACATTTGTGGCATAAACTAGAACGGAAACTTCGAAACTGATTGGGGTATCCAAAAGATTTATATGAGCATTGCAAGTAGAATAGAAAAAATTCCATCTGAAACTTATATTAATTTAATTGAAAGCATTTCACGTTGGATAGAAGCATGTATTGAAAGTCAAGGATGGCCAACTAAATATTAAAAATTTATAATATTATAATAAAACATAATTTTTAAATTGATTGACCAGATACTTTTGATAGGGTAGTGTATGTGTATAAAAAATTGAAAAATTGATGTGATTATTGTAGCATACTGGGTGCGATTTAACTCACAGATTGTTTAAAATGTCTGTATTAAAAGGTTTTTCCTAACGCTTCAGAAAATAAAATCAAAATACACATTTTTTTCCTTACAATCTTTTTTATATATTTATACTCGTTTTTGTAATTTACAAAGCTTAAGCATTTTAAACTAAGTTATATTTACATGCACCAACTGTTTAAACTTTAAAAAATTTTTTTTTTAGATGAAATATTCCAGCTTCAATTACCAAAGCGACTGGAATCTGAAGTTGCACGAAGCTGAAAGCAGACATAAAACAAACGAACATTATGATCGTTTTATTTTTCTATTATGACGGTACGCTAGAATTTATTTTGCTATAATTTAGAGATTTTAATAATTATAGCCTTATAAATCTTTTTATTACAGATATTACGGACCTCCTTTAAATCTATAATTACTATGAATCTTTTTTATTTTTTAAACAAAAAACAATTCCTTTAATGTTAAAATTAATCTATGTCGATAATAGGATCTTTATCACTTTTACTGTCACTTTATACTTAATTTTAATAATTCTTTTGCAATAAAAATATCGCTTAGTTCTCAAATGAAATCATGTGTTAATAAGGAAGTAAAGATACGATTAATTTACTACCTCTAAACAAAGCAAAACGAAGTTAAATCCTTTCATAATAGGTGTTCAATTAATTAGGGCAGTATAGTCTAAATCAAATACTTATGATTAAAAAAGGAGGAAATGGCAAGTCCGATTGTCAGAAATATGAGATCTATCATCGAAGACAGATGTAATTTTGGAGCCAAAGCGGCACCCGCAAAAATGAATTGACTTTGCTAATTCGTGTAAGTAAAGTTTTATGATTTTCGAAGAATTTAGCTTGGACTTTTTTTTACCTGTTTTATTTTTTTTTATTATTAGTCCGGAACGAAGTGAAGAACTATATATTTCTATGCAAAGTCTGATATTTGCCCGCCCGCTCAATAATTGAGTCGATGCTGATTGGCTTTTGCAATATTTTTTTTCAGCCAAGATCGTTCCGATCTTAACAACGTTCCCCTTTCCTAGTATATATAATTTGTTTTAATAGTCAGTTAGTAGGCCAAACTTTTGAACCCAATAATAATGGCAGTATTAATAACATTTCAAGAGGCTCATCATGAATATTTCTTCACCAGATTACAATCCTAGATATTGTTAAATTGATTTTTATTGTCAATGAAAATGATATCAATGTAATAATTAAATTGTTGACTATATAGTTATAGAAATACCTATCGTCAAGTCAAGAGATTTGCAAGTGCCTTTCAAATTCTTTTTTTAATAAAAGTAATTAATCACCTTTACATATCCTCGGCCAACAAGTCATAAGAAAACCAAAAATAATTAAAAACTTTACTTCTGATAAAGATCATGAAATTTTTTATCATAAAGGTAAAATAAAAATGCTATACCTTGAGAAAAAATAATGAATAATTTTTAGGTTTATTTGGATATAATTAAATATAAAACCTCTTCTTACAAAATAAAGAAATACTTATTGCATTAACAAGCCTTTTTAGCTCAAAATACGCGCGGGGGAGCCATGATCAGAGGTTATGTTATATCGTGGGCTCTCAGTTGTTCGGATGTATTTTTTTTATATTATCGGGCCTTTTAATTAGTGATTGGTCTGAAATTTCGTTAGACCTTTTAGTGTGAGACCTTGTGTTTTGTGTGCAGTTAATGCAAAGGCATTCTGAATTGGGAATTGGCGTCGTGATGCTAGAACACCATTGATGTTGAAGTATGATGTTATTTTTTGTATGTTATATTATCTGTCATGGGAAAGGTTATCTCTGTATTATTGTTGTCTGTGATTTTTGTCACTACTCCGATGCTTCCATTACATATTCCATGTTCGAAGAGTTTATTGTTTAAGCACATCATTCACGCGTATTTTTATAGAGTTTGGTAGGTTGGTATGATTTTTGAGTCATTTTCGTTATCAATTATCTGCTTGTTAAGGTTATCTATAGATTTTGATATGATGATTTCTGGGATTTTATAATATTTCAGGCGAAACTATTATTCAAAATCTGAAACGTTTCGCCCAGAGAATTTTTCTATGATCTGAAACCTCCGAAACCCTAAATTTGGAAAGATTTTTGCGGATCAATTTGGCGAAACTAGTTTCACCCAAAACACTAAGTTGAGCAGTTTTGTGAAGGCTAACAATGTGTTTGTGTTTATCATTACATTTAGGTTGGTTGATTCAGAGATTTTTAAGTTTATCATTGATTTTAATGTTTCAGAGAGTTATCCAGTTCTCAATTCTTGGAGGAGGTTGTAGAAGTCTGGATCATTTTGTTGTCATTTTGGTTGTGATAAGAAGAGAGGAAAAAATAGATTCATATTGAGAAATAAAATATTTATTATAAGAATTGGAATTCCTCCAAATGATTTATGATTTTGTGTAGTAAACTGAATATGTTGCTTATAAAAGTCAACAGTTCACTGGATACCATAGAAATTTCTTTAATTATGATTGCTTTTAAGTTTTAGATTATGTAAAGTTTTGAATTAGTTAATGGCGATTTAGTTGTTATATTATAATTTTTAAAATACTCTAGGTAGGTCATATTTTCGAATATTTTATTGTCTATCATAATATTTACTAATTGCATCATCAAAATATGATTTATCATGTTCATTTGTCATTGTTGATTTGCATATATAATGAAAGATGGGTTAGAATTGAATGATCGACCAAGTGCATGTTTTTTTTTCTTTTCTCCAAAATTTATAATTAAATAAAATGCAAGCTGCTAATAATTCAAATGAGTGGATTGAAGAATATATTTCAAATAAAATATCAAATACTACAATTACAAACATTTTAATAATCAGTAAGGGTGGATTTGGAAAAGTTTATCGTGCAAATTGGAAAAATATAAAACAACCTTT